GATTTATTAATCATGTTTTGCACCATGAGCAAAATCTTTGCTGTTATCTGAGTAATTATTTCTGATTTCATTTTTCCCAGATCCACTTTTGTTGCCAGTTCAGAGAGTCCAGGTGGTTGAGTATCAGATTGTTCCATCTCGTTTCCCATTGGGGTTGCTGTAGGTGATCCAGAAGTCTGTTTTTGAGGCTTGTTTACATGTCTTCTCATTTCCACGGTTGGGGGGGCGGTGCTTCTGGCACCCACGTGGCTCACCTTCTCTGCCCTAGGAGCTTGGGATGGCAGCGGGGGAGCTTCCTTCCGGGTGCTGGGACCAGCTTAGCTTCTCTGTCCTAGGAACTTGGGATGGCAGCGGGGGAGCTTCCTTCTGGGTTCTGGGATCAGCTCACCTTCTCTGCCCTAGGAGCTTGGGATCCCAGCAGGATCCTTTTCAAAGCCGTGGAAGTCTCCACAGGGAGGGCCGGAGATCTAGCTCAGTGGTTCCGCCGCCTGCCTCGCAAGCACAAGGTCCCAATGAGTTTGATACCTGGTACCAAAAAATCAAGGCTCTAAATTTGAATCTTTTGCATTTACCTGGCTAGTATGTGGTCTCTTTTGGAGAAAGTTCCATGTACTGCTGAGAAAAATGTGTATTCTGTTGTTGGGTGGAATATTGTAGATATCTAGAAGTCCATTTGTTGAAAGGTTTTGTTCAACTCTGATATTTCTTTGTTGGTTTTTTTTCTAGTTGATCTATTTGTGATAGTGGGGTATTGATTATGTTTATGTTTATATGATCTTTTATGTTCAATTGTACTTATTTTATGAAGTTGGATGCCCTGTTATTCAGTGCATATATGTTAAAAATTGTTATCTCTTTCTGTTGAGTTGTTCCCTTAACCAATATGTCATGATCTTCTTTGCCTCTTCTGGTCAGTTTTAATTTGAGCTCCACTTTGTCTAAAAGTAAGATAGCTACATCTGTCTTTTTAGGGGGTTCCCATTGCATGAAATACTGTTTTCTGTCCTTTGATTTTTAGTTTATGAATTTCTTTTTGGGTTAAATGTGTTTATTGGGTGTTTTATTTGTTTTTATTTATTTTTGGTACTGGGGATTGAACTTAGGACCTTGCACTTGTGAGGCAGGCATGGGTGCTACTGAGCTAAATCCCTGGCCCTTGTGTTTGTTTTCTGAGACAGGGTCTTGCTGTGTAGTCCAGGTTGGCCTTGAACTCACTATGTAGCCCAGGCTGGTCTCAAACTCTTGGAGATCCTCCCACCTCAGCCTCCCCAGTGCTGGGATTACAGGTGTGCACCACCATACCCAGCTTAAATGTGTTTCATATATACAGCACACTAGATTTTGTTTCTTTTGATTGAGAATTGGGACCATTCACAAGGAGAGTTATTACTGGTGAGTATTGACTTATTCCTTTCATTGCATTATTTTCCTATTGTTCTCTTTCTTCCTTTTCTACTTAACTGACCACCCTACCTGGTGTATTCATGCTATTAGATCTTTTGTCATTGTTAGCTTCATTGTCTCTGGAATATCCTTCAGAATTTTTTGGAGTGCTTCTTGAGCAGCAGTGTGGAGAGGTAGTAGCCATAGGTAGAGTGGAATATAGCAAGATCCTGTAATGAAATTAAAAAAAAAAAAGAAAAGAAAGGGTTAGGGATGTAGCTCAGTGGTAGAGTGTCCCTGGGTTCAGTCCTGTTATAGCTTGTGTCTAGATGTCCCCACAAAGCCTCATGTGGTCATAGGTGGGGCTTTTTAGAGGTGACTGGATCTAGAGTATGTGATGCTGGGATCAAGGATGTGTAATTACTAAATCGGTCCACTGATTGTTTGGTATAGTTCTGAGTGTAATGGTGGGAAGACCCACCCTGGATGTGAGTGCTACCTGCCCTAAAGGTGTGTAGCCTGGATAGACTATAAGGGGCCAAAAGAGGGCTGTGGTTGTTGATTGCTGCTTTGATTACTTTGCTTTACTGCCTTCTGCCTACCATGAACCATTTCTCCTCCTTGATGCCCCTCTGCCATGCCATCCTGCCTTGGAGCCAGCCAGCTCTGAACTGAAACCTCTACAAATTGTGAGCCATAATAAACCTTTCCTCTTTTAACTTTGGGTGTCAGGTGTTTTGTCTCAGTAGCGAAAAAAGTAACTAAGACAAGTCCCAAATGCTGGGACAAAAAATCCATGAACCATTTTTTTCTTTTGGTGGTAAGGATGAAACCCAGGGCCTCACATATGAGGCAAGCATTCTTCCTCTGAGCTACATCCCCACCTCAGACTTCTTTATATTATTCTTTAAACTTGATTTTAACATCTTCTTAGTCAAATTTGAGGACACTGGGGATTCTGTTTGACTTTAGGGATAAATTTTAAGCGGCTTTGTTTTTCATATTGTAAATACCTTTTTTTCTTTAACATATCAGGTGTTTCATCAGTATATTCACTTTATTCCTTTAATTTGCTTTATATTGTAAGAGCCATTGTGTAAGAATGACGATTTTATCAAATGAAAGTATCTCTTCCTTAAAATGACTTATTTTCAGGCATGTGGATTGATCCATCTTTTCAAAGTGGTTACTAAGCTGATCAGACTATGCTTGTGTTATTAATAGAGATTATGAAGGGGTTCAGTATTTAATTTCTATTATAGGTGGTTATTGACACCTACTACATGCTTGGTATGTCTGGAAATCCAGAGTATTAAGACATGTTAATGCCCTTGGTTAAAGCATGTGATCCATATGCATAAAAATAATGCTGGCTTAACATGTTTCTTCCACTGCCAAATGGAAAAGCCCAGTCTGGACTGCATGCTTAGCAGGATGAGCTGCAGGGATGCTTGTAATAGTTGGGGCCACTCAGCACTAAAGGGTTGCAGGGTGCTTTTATCCAGTGGAAAGGTGGCTCCTGCTGCCCCTCCATTCTGCTGATCAGTGAGGGTCTTGACGTGGCTGTCACTCTGTGTTCCTAGGCCATTGCTCTGTGGGTGGCCTGAGAGAGAGCTGGCATCATTGGCCTTGCAACCAGTGTATTTTTGTGGTCGCTTTTGGGGTTGAGCATAAGCTATGGAAGGTGAAAAAGAGAAAAAAGAATTTGAGCACTACAAGTCAAAGCTATTTTTTTAAAAGCTCAGATGACTTCTCATTCCATTTCTTTTTTTTTTTTTGGTACCAGGGATCAAACCCGGGTCCTTGCATTTGCACAGCAGGCGGCGAAACCACTGAGCTAAATCCCCAGCTCTCATTCCATTTCTTGCTGCATTATGATTGTGATTGCTTTTAATTTTCTGGTGTTTAATTGCTGCAAGAGTATATATGGCATTTTAAGAAAACATAGGCAGATTTTCTTTGTACTCTTCACTCACCCCTCGCTTTGTGATATAAATATCAAATTATTGTTCCACCATTTAATATGGACAATTAGTTACGTGTGTCCAGTCAGTGGACCTGATACCCATTTATGGATAAAGCTTAAAACTACTTCAGGGTTCCTAGTGATGGGGTCAAGACCATTTAAGTGAGCCCCATCTTCTCAACCTAAAATCACAGAAACATTTGAGATGCCCCTTTCTTTCTCCTGAAAAAAAAAAAAAAAGCATGAGAGCTATCACTTTTCCAGTTTGGCTTTCATACCATGGGAGACCTGGGAAACCTGGTTTATGGGTCTAAATGATGCATATTTCTGTCTTCTAGGATTTCTCTGTGATCAAGCCAACAGTTCAGGATACAGGGTCCAAGGATGAACATTCACCGTGGCAGTGACAGCGACAGGTTATTGCGGCCAGAGGCCAGCTGCATAGTGGATGACACCTTAGCTGTGGCTCAAGAAAAAGAAACAAACAGCCTGGCTTCATCTGGTCTTCATAATCTCACTTATCCCATAGGTCCCAGGAACGAAGGTATGGTGATTAGCTCTTGACTTAATTTGGGGGTTTTCTGACACTTGAGCATCTGTTCTACCCAGGAGGCATGGATGTTCTTAACCTAAATATATTACCAATTAATTGGCTCAGCTTTTACATCACATTACTGTCAAGCTGACCTTCACAAAATCTCCACTTATTTAATTAAACTAGTACTTCTGACTTGGTGATGGTGGTGTAGGACAACGGGCACAAGCTTGGAGTCAAGACAGTTTCAGAGTCTCGCTCTGCTAATTAATAGCTGTCACCATAGATGAGATCCGTAATCTTCCTGAGTTCTGCTTTTCTTTTCTTTTCTTTATTTATTTATTTTTACTTTTGAGACGGGGTTTCACTATGCAGTTCAGGCTGGCCTCAGACTCACAGTGATCCATTTGCCTCAGAGTTCTGCTTTTCTTAATCTAGAAAACTATTAATTTTGTTCCTTTTTACAAGGCTGGTGGATTGAGTTAATGATGTGAAAATGGCTGATTAACTTTTAGGTTCTAATTTTGAACAAGTTTTACAATAACCTTACTATTTAAAAAGTTAATAGGTGCATTATAGGGAGGAGATGAGAACACAAGGCAAGAACAAAACCGTGCATAAGCATAGGGGTTCAGTTGGACACTCCCTTCTGGGGTCTGTATTAGACACTCAGCACCCCATTTTACAGGATTGAGATCATACAGTGTGTCTGTTGTGTCGCATATTATGAATATGTGCCAATTAAAAAAAAACAAAGCTGTATGAGTATTTTGTTTGTTTGATTGTTTTTTGGTACCGGGGATTGAACTTGGGACCTTGCGCTTGTGCGGCAGGCTCCAGAACCACTGAGCAAAATCCCCAGCCCTGTATGAGTATTTTGATAACCAAAAATAACTACCCAAACTCCATCTTAGAGAAGAAATACCTAATCTTGCCTTGCTTAATGACAAAACTTTCATAGAAGACATAGCAACAGGCTTCTAGAAAAGAGTATTAGCAGAATTGCAATTAAAATACTGTATTTTCTTAATGCTCATTTAAAATGAGACAGAAAGCAAGAGTGCACTGAGTGTAATACTTCTAAGAGAATTTACTGTCAGACGTACACTGTTAAAACGTCATTAGCAAGAAATGGGGAAAAAATAAGAACCAAGATACATCATGTACAGGTACAAGCACCCAATGATAAATGTTAATGTACTGTATACCTAAAATGTACCAATAAAAGAGTATAAGCAAAAAGAAAGACAGAATGGGCCGGGGATTTAGCTCAGTGGTGCCGCCGCCTGCCCCGTGAGTGCAGGGACCTGAGTTCAGTCCCCAGTACCAAAAAAAAAAAACATCACTAGCAAGAGAGTGCATTTCCATTGAATGACCTAATGTGTTCCCGTGTCACACAGCCAAAAGCTGCGCATGCAGCAGGGACTGTCGCCCAGTGTGAGTACGAACACCTCCACATCCACCTCTTCCTGGAAGCCTGCTCCTGTCTCTGTTCCGACCTGATGAGCAAGACCTGAGAGACCTGCTCAGAGCAGTCCTGTGTCCAGTCGCATCTTTTCCACCAGTTCTTTGCAAATTGGCTGATTGCCTAGCTCTTTTTGTCCTACTTTCACACTTGTAATTAAAATAGCAACTGCCATTTAGCGAGCAGCACCTTACTCAGAACTTCACACACAGTATGTCCTTTAGAGCAGGGATGGTAACCTGTAATCAAATCTGACCGATGATTGTTTTTTAAGTAAAATTTCATTGAAAAACGGCCATTGTGTCCATCAGTTTACTTATGGCTCTGGCTCTTTCCAGCTGTGGTGGTAGAGATTGTGAGCTGCAAAACCTAAAATAATTTACTTTCTGGCCCTTTGCAGAAAGTTGGCCATTCCCGTGTAGATTAAACTTCACAACTACTGTTCTTGTTTCACAGATGAGGAAACTGAGGTTTGGGTGACTTTCTCGGTTGACACTGCTGGGAGGCGGGCGTCTGGGATCCGACGCTGTCTTTCTGACCAGGCCATGTTGTGTGTATCAGCTGGGGGGAAGCATGAGGGAGAAGTGGGTTTCTTTTGCTGTCCCCCCATGTAAGCAGGGTGCAAGTGGTGCTTCCTCCTTGCGTTCAGGCATCAAACCAAATGAATGACTTTACTGTTGAGGGGAGATCAAGCATTCTAAAGAGTGGAGTTAGTACTTCGGGTACCTGTTTCACTTTTCAGAACAGCACTCAAAATGTGAACACCTGATGGCGAGCAAGGTGTTGGATGCTGCAGGTGGCAGCCGGTGTGTTGTGGGGCCCTCAGCCTTGGTGTGTGACACGCGCCCTGCGGAACACTTCCTGGACCCTATAGGTTGTGAACACAAAATAGGCTTCTGGCCTAGGTGTTTGCTTCCTTTTATTAACTACTCTGTCATCAGCGCAGGAAGTCAACTAATTTCCCAGAAGTCGTGGGCAGTAGTCTTGTTGGTGGATAATCGTATACACTGAAAATAAATGAGGGACCGCGTCTGCCTGGCAAGTGCAAGGTCCTGAGCTCTATCCCCAGTACGGCAAAAAAAGTTAAAAAAATATATGAGGGGTGAGGGGTGAAAGTGAGACATTCAGTTGTACTATGTAACCTTTTCTTTTTTTTTTTTTGGTACCGGGGATCGAACTCGGGTCCTTGTGCTTGCGCAGCAGGCGCTGAAACCACTGAGCTAAATCCCCAGCCCTATGTAACCTTTTCTTTCTTTCAAAAAATTTTTTTTAAAAGGTAGGAAAATGTTCACTAAGCTTGTCAAACATAAGTGATGGGGTAAATTTATTAAGTCTTTGCTTCGGTATGTTTGAAATTTTTCCTTAAAAAATACTTTCTTGACACCAAAATAAAATACACTAGTTTTACAGTAATCGTCTGGTAGTGTTTTTAGGCTTCTGACTGTCCTCCCTCCAGGTTTCACATGCTTGGTTTCAGGCGTGTGTGGTATCACGTGCTGACTGCAGTTTTAAGTACGATTTCATACTTTGTTTCAGTTGATGATCAGAACAACCCTGTGAGATAGGCAGAGTGAACATCATTACCCTCATTTCACAGATAAGAGCAGGTTTAGAAAAATAATTTAAAGAAAATGGCTTTTCGGTGATACTAGGACAAAAAATGAGGTTCCTTGAGTGAATGCGAAAGCGCTGCCCTGGAGCTTTGGTACCGAGAGCGAGAGCTGCCGAGATGATGTCAGGAGCCTCCCGAGCCTGGGAATCTCTGGGAAACGTGGTGCATTACATCAGAGGCTCGTGTCCTTTCTGGGGAGTAAACCCTAAACAATTCTGAAGTGTGTGAAATTTAATAGTTTTAGCACACAGCAATCGTGGGTTCCTAATATAAAACACAGAAAATAGAAGATTATGTTTTAGAAATAGAAATAAAACAAGTAAAAGTAACTGGCTCTGGACCAACCTTGAGATTTGAGATTTAGCGGGAGCGGTGCAGAGGATCCCTGGGTCTTCACATAAATCCTCTAGGGTTTAGATTTTTTTAAGCCATCCGAGCAGTTTACTTTTTAAAAATCATTTTAGCCGAGTGTGGTGGCACACACCTGTGATCCCAGCACTCGGGAGGCTGAGGCAGAAGGACCACTGTGAGTTCGAGGCCAGCCTGAACTACATAGCGAGACCCTGTTTTAAAAAAATAAAAAAAGTCATTTAAACGTGTGGGCATTTCTGCCTTCATCCCCTGTTGATCCCCACACATACATGGGGCAGTTCAGGTGACCCAGTGTGAGTCTCAACTTTAGTTTTGTTTTTTAACTTGCTCTAGGGAAGAAGTTTTGCTTGTTTTTTGTTTTGCCTGTGAACATGTTAGAAATTCGGTGGGTTTTTTGTTTTTATTTTTGTTCCTTGAGTTGTTCTAAGAAGGACAGGGTTTATTTTTGTCCCCAGGCTTTTCTCTCAAGTGACTTGGTTTGTTTGTATGATCTTTCAGATCTTTCGCTTGACTATGCCTCTCCGCCAGCAAATCTTCAGTTTTCTCACATGATGCCACTTCCCGAGGACATCAAAGGCTCTTGCTTCCAAAGTGGGGGTAAACGGAACCACGAACCCTTTCTTGCCCCAGAAAGATTTGGAAATAGTGTGGGCTTTGGTAGTAACGCTCATTCCCAAGCACCAGAGAAAGTGACACTTCTTGTGGATGGCGCACGGTTCATTGTGAATCCACAGATCTTCACCGCTCATCCGGACACCATGTTGGGAAGGTGATTGGTAATTTCCTTCCAAACCCACCCTGTTCTCTATAAGTAGAAATACATTGCTATTTATCTTGCATTGCATTTTTCTGCCTTTATCGTTATTGTTGTTGTTGTGTTTTTTGGTTTTTTTGGTTCCGGGGATCAAACTCGGGACCTTGCGCTTGCAAGGTAGGCGGTAGAACCACTGAGCTACATTCCTGGCCCTCTGCCTTTATCGTTATGTGCAAAGGGGACAGCAAGCTAGTAAAGCCTTGTACATGGTGATGATTTGGAGGTGCTGGTGTGTTTCTTGCACAGAGCCAGGCCAGGGGCTGGGCTGTGGCTCAGAGGTAGAGCACTTGCCTGGCACGTGCAGGGCCTGGGTTCCATCCACAGCACCACACAAAGCAAGACCTAAAAACAGGCAGTGTAAGGAGCCTCCACAAGAGGGATAAAATTAGTCAGGACCATGGAACATACCTTGGCAAATCTCATTCTCTACTCCGCTAAGCTCACTGACGTTTTCCAACTTGCACAGGTCAAAGTTCCTTGGATAATTGGAAACCTAAGTTGTGTTTTTCTTTTCTTTTAAGAAAAAACAGTATTAAATATTCCACACGATACAAGAATGGAGCTATTTTGCTGAAAAACATTTACATGCCAACTACTGCCACATTTATGCATGGCAGTAGAGGCTGTGCTGTATGTTCTATTGACTCCCCTCTTAACTATTCAAGTCTTTTGAAGTGGAGTCTTTATACCTAGCTGTTTTATTCTTTCATAATAGTTCTCTTGATTCTTTGTGCTCCACTCCTTGTTCTGCTTCTTCAAGACTCTTCTGTAGATGGTGAAGACTTCCTGTCACCCTCTCCTGCCCCCGCTCTGCAGTGTGGAGTTTAGGGAATGGAGACAGCTTGTCATGCAGGGTGGGGGTGGGGAGGGATGCTGGCCAGCAGGTACTCCTGAGCTTGGCCTGGGCGGCAGGAGAGCCTCTGTCTGGCCGGCCATCCATTAACATGACAAGAACAAATTTGGATAAGCAAAAATAATAATGACAACAGTAGTATATAGGTACATTTGACTGTAGGGGCTTCTCACCTACTTGGAAGTAGGTTTTATTTTCTGTAAAGATCTAATCTCACTCAGGACTTTGAACTAACCTGAACAAACTAGAAATTAGAATGAATCATACTCATTTGCTGAATCTAAACTGAATGGAATCCAGCTAGGAAAATCCGTAGATGGGAGCATATAAATTCAAAATGGACCACTTAAGCTAGAACCAAAACTGTCTATTTCTCAGACATTTGAATTAAGATGAAAGTAGAATATTAGAACATTTTCTCACTTAGCTGTATATTTTGCCAGGCTTGTCTCCCTGGTCTCAGTTTTGGTGTTACCACTGTTGTGCCCTCCCCTGAAAAGTGTCCTTCAGTCCTTCAGGCTGGCTCTTTGGGGTTGCTGCCTCTGCAAGTAGCAGTCAAGGGAAGATAGCCAAGTGTTTTCTGAGTAAAAAAATTCCTGGCTCTTTGAATCTAGGAATGGGTGGGTTTTCCCGTGAAGAGGAGAGTCTGGGGTCATTAGCTGGTTCGTTCAGCTGAGGAGGCCACAGTCAGGAATTCTGTGAGTTCCCTTAGGTTGGTTCCATCCATTGGATGCATCCCTGCTCCTAGGCAGGGGGCTTCCAGATGGGGACACCAGTCACAGGGCAGTGAGCTGAGAGGAGAATGGATAGAGCACATCCATGCCACTAGGACTAGACAAGCCTGAGCTGAAGTCCTGCCGATGGCAGATAGGAAGAGTTGTACTCACAGCATATTGTGCACTGTTTGGTTTTTTGTGGGGTTTTTTTGATACCGGGGATTGAACTCGGGTCCTTCCGCTTGCGAGGCAGGCAGCAGAGCCACTGAGCTAAATCCCTGGCAGTTGCAGACTGTTTTGATTCCGAGCTCTCTCAGCTAGCCTCACCTGGCGTGTCCAGAACGGTGTCAGTGTTCTTTGGAGGGTAGCTTTCTTGTACATTGTGCAGCAGTTAGGAAAACGTGATATGAAATCATTTTCAGACCTTTGAAAAGCAGCCAAATCAGGATAGAGAGTAACAGTGGAAAGCAGTGCTTCCCAGCAGGCTAAGGAAGGGAATGGCAGTGGGTCCCCATTGGGAAATCAAGTCAGGCTGGCTGAAGGTGGAGACTTTCCACCCAGGCCTTGTGCTGTCTTCCCATCCCACATCTCATACTCAGATGTGGCAGGAGTGGAAATCATGGAATCATCAGAGATTGGAGGGGACCTGGGAGAAGGGGGAAGGGGGAAAAGGTGAATAAGAAAAGCATGCCTGTGTCACTGCCCTCATAACTTCTGAGTGCATGCCAACCACCCCCGGCTAGAACCCTAATCCCTGCCCCCCTTTCTACATGATCTAAAAATCTCATCGTTAGAATAACTCCATGGATTGCAGATGGGCACTTTCCAGAGCTGCACTGCTGAAATGTACCGGGAACAGAAAGTGGCAGCATAGCTGCACCTACTGATACAGAGTGGTCTATCAGAGTAACGCTGAGACAAAGCTCAGAAGCAGTAAGGAGTGATGCACGGGACAAGGAAGTGTTGGTAGAGGAGGGAAAAAGGAAATAATTCAGCAGCGGAGAAGCTGTCTTCCTGAGCTGTGTGTGGTGTGAGTTCTTGGGCCGTGGAGGACAAATGAGGGCCCTCATCATACATCCCAAGGTTTTCCAAAGGCCACTCTGCAGTTGCTAATTTGCTGCCGACCTCAGTAGAGATGAACCTGCAGGACTTGGCTGTGTCATTCCTTTTCATGCACATGCTTAGAGCACCTGCTGCCTCCTTCTCCTGTCTAAAGAGTTTCCTAAGACTTGAGTTCGTCTCGTAGGTGCTGAGACGCAGTACGATTCTTAACTTATACCGTGAGAGAGCAGGGTGGAGTCTTCCTGATGAGCTGAGGAGAGGAAAGCCTCATCGGTGAAGACCTGCTGGCCAAGCTAACGCTGTTGCCTGGGTGTCTTGCAGGATGTTTGGACCAGGAAGAGAGTACAACTTCACGCGGCCCAATGAGAAGGGAGAGTATGAGATTGCCGAAGGAATCAGCGCAACTGTATTTCGCACAGTGCTGGTGTGTAATGGCATTTATTTATCTTTATATCTTCTTCCTTAAACATTCCAACAACCATGTAACTGGCTCCCAGTTCTCCGTGTCCAATTGTTGCCTTGCCTTCTTTATTTTTTATTCTTGTGTAACTTTTAAGTCCTTCCTGCTGTGTGAGCTCAGTTATTGTCAAGTTCTGATTACCAGGAGCTACCTTGCCCTAATGAACATCAAGTTGGTGATAATTCTAGGAACCCATCACTTCTACAGAACCAGGAATGAGCAGGGCTAAAGAAGCACTTTTCCATCTTGCTCTTCACCTACATTTCTTCCTTCCAATCTGTTTATAGGATTATTACAAAACTGGTATCATCAATTGTCCAGATGGCATCTCTATCCCAGACCTTAGAGACACATGTGATTATCTCTGCATTAATTTTGACTTCAACACTATCCGATGTCAAGATCTGAGTGAGTACAGAGCAGCTGCCCGCTGCACCTGAGCCGCCGAACTTTCAGATGGCTTAGAAGTGAATGCTGTGTTTTATTACTGAACAGAAGGAGTTTCAAGTATAGGTTGAGATCATCTACAGAACAGGGATGTCCTACCAGCAAACGTGTTCCCTCTCCTGCTTCCAAGTGGAGTAAACAAAGGAAACCCGGCAGTGGGTTTGAAATCGAGCTTGGCAAGCCAGTCACCCAGCTAACACTTGACTTGTAGGTGGGACCAACATGCAGAAGGCCTCACTAATAAAGTCAAACAGCATGTTGGCTGGATTCATCTTACCATGATTTTAATCATTATTGTTAAGCTAGTGTTTGCCTAGTACTTGACAGATGCTGACTTGCTTAACAGCTAACCCTGAAAGATGGTGCTAACTTCATTTAACAAACGAGGGGTCTGAGACATTCACTTGTTCAAAGCTCTTAATCATTAAATTGAGGATTAGAATTCATATTGTCTGACTGTAGACTCCATGCTCTTATCGTTACCTAGGGTTCCTGAATTATTTAAAGAGTTATTCTCAGAGCCAGGGCTGGTGGTATAAGGCTTTACTTGGGAAACTAAGGCAGGAGAATTGCAAGTTTGAGGGCACCCTGGGCAACTTAGCAAGATCCTGTCCTAGAAATAGAAAGGGCTGGGGATGCAGCCTCAGTGGAGTACCTCTGGGTTTGGCCCCCAGTACAGAAAGAAAGGAAAAAAAAATTCTTTGAAGTTCTTAATGCATTTCCCTGCAGTTTGTGTGAAGGCCTGTAGACTTACGGTTTGTCCTGGGTTTGCTACACGCATAGGTTAGTCCCTTGATGTTGCCAGACACCAGGCTCTCTCTACTGTGTGATGCTCCACCCATGTCGGGATCCCTAGCCTCTGCACAAGAAGAGGTGCTACAGAGTCTCTCCAGATGATGGTTCTGTCCCTTGCACAATCAGTGTTCATGGCTTGGCACTGACTGACTATACACCACTGTATCTCGGTTCCTCAGAATGCCCAGGGATTAGGAAACCTGATGAGTTGAAACATTGCAGAACATGAAACATCTGACAGTCACCTTAGAGCAGGAAACACTTCTACTTCAATAATGGCTGTAACTTGTCAACTTTTCACTCCAGGAATAGGTGCGCTTCCACGGGAAGTGTGCTCAGCTGCTTTTCCTCTCTCCAGGTGCTTTACTGCACGAACTGTCTAACGATGGTGCTCACAAGCAGTTTGATCACTACCTCGAAGAGCTGATCCTGCCCATCATGGTGGGCTGTGCCAAGAAAGGGGAGCGAGAGTGCCACATCGTCGTACTGACGGACGAGGATTCTGTGGACTGGGATGAAGACCATCCCCCACCCATGGGAGAAGAATATTCCCAAAGTAGGAGCCCCTGCAGGGTAGATGTTCTCCACAAGGAAGATGCTGCCCGGAGTAGCCACCAGCCCCTAGCCAGTGTGATTGTCCCTGGAGGCGGCGATGAGGCCGGGCCCTGTGCTGTGCTGGGGACATGGTGCCTGCAGTAACGCCTCTCCCTCCTGTCCCAGGCCCGCACCTGCCCGACACTGAGCCCAACACCAATGGTGCTGCCACTTTCTCTCCTGTCACTGCATGTTTAATCCTCTCACACTGGTCTCAATTCAAAACTTAGAAAGTCTTTATAAAAGGATTTGCATTGAAAACAAATCCTTTAGGGCCGGGGATTTAGCTCAGTGGATTCGCCACCTGCTGCGCAAGCCCAAGGACCCAAGTTTGATCCCCGGTACCAAATATATATATAAATAAATAAAACAAATCCTTTAACAGCCCTGCCTCATCTGCCCAGTTTTCTTCCTCAATTTCTTGGTAGCCTTCCAAGTACATTCCATACACCTGAACTGTTACACACTTGTTTTTCCCTTTTCCCAAATGATCCCTATTACTCAGACTGTCCTGTACCGTGTGTCACTCTGTCTTATGGCCACACCGATTGCATGAATGTGCCCTAATTGACTTAACCAGCCCTGTCGGACAGTTAGGCTATGAATTGTGAATAGTGCACAGTGAATATCTCTTTAGGGAGTCTTTTCACATATATATATCACTGTTCCTAGAAATGGAAGGTCAAAGCTTTTTGCTTTTATAACTTTGATAGCCATCACCAAATTATCCTCCATAAAGGTTGTTACAATTTGCACTCAGAACAATATATAATAGGTTTGTTTCCCACACTCTCACCGGTTTGGAAAATTTATCTTTGCCACTCTTTTTTTTTTTTGGTACCAGGGATCAAACTCGGGTCCTTGCGCATGCAAGGCAGGTGGGAGAACCACTTAGCTAAATCCCTGGCCCTTTGCCACTCTTAATAGTTTAAAAAATAGCATCTCATGATCTGTGTAGGTTTATTTATTTATTTATTTATTGTTGCCAGGGATCGAACTCACAACCTTGTGCTTAAGAGGCAGGCGTGGTGCCACTGAGCTAAATCCCCGGCCCTGTGTAGTTTTAATTTGCACTTATTTCATGAGTAAGGCTTTTTAACATCTTTTTAAGAGCCATTCTATCTAGTTTCCTTTTCTGTTAACTGTGCTTGTGCCTTTGGACTATTACACAATTAGGTTGTTGATCTTTCAGTAGTTTGTGAACACTATATGTGGAAGTCAGCTCTGTTGTAACAGGAGCAGGAAATACTTACCTGATTTGATTGTCTTTTTAGCTTTGTTAATGGTGGTCCTGGCTATGTGCAGATGCTGTATTTTTTTCTTCTATGGCTTCTGGGTTTTGTGTCATACTCAGACCTTACCTAAGATGAGAATATAAAAATTTCTTTATGGTTGTTATATTATTTAACATTTAATCTTTGACCCATCTGGATTCTCTCAGCAGCAGTGGTCAAGTGCACTTGTCAGAGTTTCTCTTAGCTTGTGTCCTTCCTCTTCAGAGGTCTCCATGACTAACCCCAGGGTTTTGTTTTGTTTTGTTTTAGTTCTTTATAGCTCCAAGCTCTACAGATTCTTCAAATATATTGAGAATCGAGATGTTGCTAAAACAGTGTTAAAGGAACGGGGCCTGAAAAACATTCGCATTGGGATTGAAGGTAAAAAAAAAATCATCCCAGTCAGTATTCAGATTGCACACTTAGGAAGTAGATTTTATCCATGGCCATAGCTCATGACTTCAAAAATCGAGCTTCCAGGTGGCCTGGAGAATAGGCATGAATGAAGACTATACTTCTCGTGTGAAGGATTCCTACTTTTTTTGTTTTATTTTTCCTCACATGTCCTTCCCTTTTGCTCCAGTAGGAAATGCTTTTAGGCTTGAGTTTACTCCTCAGGACAAGAGCAGTGAGGGCGAATACAGCAGGTCTCGTGGTTCACCCTTGGGAGCCTGGTTTGGGCAGCAGTGGTCTTGGTGAGGGTGTTTCTGAAAAATACAGCTTAAGGACCGAAACTTAAGACTGTCCTCTGCCTCTGGGGACTGTGGATAAAGTGACAGTGACTCCCCACCTCCATTCGCCAGGGAAGGGGCTTAGAGACTGATTCTTGGAGGTGCCAGAGCCATCCTGGTCCGCCCTCTGCAGACCTGGGACTTTTGGGCTTTGCTGTTCCACTGCCTCACTTTTGCCCACAAGACCCACCAAGCCTTCCTGGTGTCTGACTTAGGAATTTTAGTTTGGAAGAAGTGGTTGAGGTTTGTCTATTGACCCACCTTCCGCTGTCTTTCCCTTGTCCCTTAGGAGAGCCAAGGAGCAGCCAGCAGACTGTCCTGGACGGTTTCTCCATTTTCATGTGGCACGCTCTTTGGTGTTTTAGGCAGCATCCTTGTTTTCCCTTTAGGCCAAACATCCCACGTTTCCATAACCATCTTCCACACAGTGTGCAGCTTGAAGAGGACAGAGTAGCCGTGCACTGGCGGGATTTTGTTCTGTAGTATTGTTGCCAGCAACTAAAGTCTCTTGAAATTAATAAGCGGCTTCCCTCCCCTCCATCAGAAGAGATAGACTTCATGTTTCCTCTCAAGATTAGTCCCCTCTAGGAATGAGCCCTACTAATCTGAGAGCCAGGAGGGCACTGGGCAAGGACCGCTCACTTCCCACCTTTTTCCTGTCTTTGGATTTGAAAGGAAGGAGAAAATATGGATGCAGAATGAGCACAATTTGGCAGTATCATGAAAATGGCCTTTTTCTGTTTCAGGTTACCCTACCTGTAAAGAAAAAATAAAGAGAAGACCTGGCGGTCGGTCTGAAGTTATCTATAATTACGTGCAGCGTCCCTTTATCCAGATGTCATGGGAAAAGGAAGAAGGGAAGAGTCGCCACGTGGATTTCCAGTGTGTTCGAAGCAAGTCCCTCACCAACCTGGTAGGTGCCGGCGAGGACATCTTGGAGGACCCGGAGATGCTCATGCACCACCCGCCACAAGTGGACGAACTCGACCGGCTCAATGCCCCCCTTGTTCAGATGGTTTCTCATGACTTCCAGGATTAGGGGTGTATGGGTCGGCCCCTCTCCAGGGCTCTTCCATGTGGGACGCCCATGGCCAGGCTCCCATCCTCCCCATGGCTGTGTCACCCTGACACGCACCTCCCCTACCTTTGGCTTTCCTGTAATTAACATGTGTCCTGTTCCATAAGTCTGAGTCTCTGGCAGGGGATGAAGACGCGCTCTGGTAATCAGGCTCCCAGCTTTCCAGCGGCCCTGGTAACTGGAAAAATTGGGGTCTGGTACTGTTCACTGAGTCTGCATAGCTACAAATGCAAGCAGGAAAGGAAGCCAAGGCTCCTATTGCCTCAGCAAAGCAGTCCTCATCCTTTCCACTCTGCTTTTGTTGGTTTTGTCTTATATCAGGCAAATGCGTAGTAAGCAGCAAAGGGACCAAAGGTAAAAAGAGACATCTCTGTCTTCTGAAAGCTGGCACTGAGATGCTCATGAGAAGTTAATGAAGTCCCATTCCTAGGGCCTCTGCACCCAGACTGCATCGAGAAAGGACAGGCTCACTCGAAATCTCAAAAGGAAATTCCTAAGAGCTGAAATTCAGCTTCCTCATTAATGCAGTGAACAATTCAAAACCACACAAGACAAGTTCTTCAGCGGAAGAATGACATAATGATGTAGGAACTCAAATTGCCGACTGACTGGGAGACAACTCCGGGGCCTCTCCACATCAGGCCAGTGGGTTCTCCTGGCCAGGACCCTGGGCCAGCACTTTGCTGTGGTGGGGCTGGGAGACTGGAGATTCAGGTGAAAGGCTCACAGGGAGGGGAGCAATTCCTCACCAGTGCCATCCCCTTAGATTGCTAAGGGCACCTTGGAGAAAGCGTTTGGAGTGAAACTGGCTGGGAAGCGTCACCAGCAGACTCCCAGGGCAGGATTTCTCTACACAGGTTCTCATACCATGGAGTTCTGGAGGTATCTGAATTTTGATTTTTAAAATACCCTAGTAACTACTCTCACACTGGGTAAGAAAATGACGGTGATGTGGTCCCCCAAGGAAGGGCAAGTTGAAGGGAAGTCAGGTTCAGGTGTCATCTGGTTGCTGTCAGCTCTATTAACACTGTTTGGTTGGTGACAGTCCAGATCAGCCTCCTGGACCCTACCTTCCTCTGACAGCTCTGTGGTTGTTAGCAGCAGAGCTAAATTTAGTCCCAAAGCCAGGCAGGTGTGTGGGAATTAACCTCCCACTTCTGGTCAGAGTCGTCCACACCGTAGACTGAATAGGCACATAGTTTCCTTCCAGTTCTTTTAAGAACACAACGCGTTTTCTTAAATTCCTTTCCCATAAGATGCTGTAGGACAAGCTACTTGATTCTTCCAAAAATAAAGTTGGGTGTTGAGAGCCCCTTTTTCCCAGCCTGAGGAATAAGAAATGTTTCCTTTTGGCCCCAAACTTGTGGCTGTTCTCCTGCCTCCACCTCCCAAGTGCTAGGATCACAGGCTTGTGCCACCACCAGTGGCTTAAGAATGGTTTTTGGTTTTTTTTCTGGTACTGGAGACTGAACTTGGGACCTTGCGCTTGTGAGGCAGGTGTTGCACCACTGAGCTACATCTCTGGCCCCCTGGCTTAAGAATGTCCTTAAGGAGCGTGTTCTGGGTGCTTGTGGCCAGCATCACAAGGAATCAATGTTCTGTTCCTTACTGGGAAAACAGCAGTCAGACTGAGCCATCTGTCACCTAGTTTTGATCACCATTGGTGTCTATTTGTGGAGCCGGTGGCCAGCATAGGGGTGAGGGTTATTTGTAACCAAGTGGCTCCAATTTAGGTCAGGCATAGCCTTGGCCTTGCCAGCAGCACGTCCATACCCATTAGCAGCTTACCTGCCCCGGTGCTTCCTTCACACTTCTCAGTGGCTTCCATGCCATTGCAGAGGAAATTTGAATCCCCCCCCATTTCTGTGTTGACGATGTGAGTAACTAGTGTAAACATGCCACAGTTAACACTTTAATTAGTTCCTGCTAGGTACAAAGTTAGGAAAGTAGGGTGTGTACTTGATGCTTTGTTTTGTGTAACTGATTATTTTTCTCAGGCTTAGCGATCTTCCCTACAGCCACATTCTAAGTTAACTTGCTTTTGGCCCCAACCAGTAGTTTGAGGACGTGGAAATGTGGTTTGTCTGCAAGTGTCATCAAGTGGTGGTGACTAAACGAAAAAGTGACCATAGGTTCCTTCTGATAGAGCAGTTTCTGTACCCCCCACCTCACCCCCCACCTAGACCTTAACGTCTTTCTAACTTGGTGGCCCCTCAGTTCCTGTGGGAATGAGGCCTAGGCTACAGTCATCCCCTTCAGTCAGTTACTGGCCAGATAGGTAGAAGGTAACTTGGGTTTGGTGTCTCTTTAAGTGCCTAAATAAGTAAGCCAAGCTGTTCATACATTTTTGTAAGAAATTATTTCACCCAGAGTATCTTAGAGCTTCTCAGCAAGCCAAGATGAACCAGAATTTGAGGTTTAGAGTTGGCTAGGAAACATTAGCCATTGAGAGCACAAGGAGACAGTGTTAAAATGTCACATTATTTGATGGTTTCTTCAAAGTGAAAGAAAGGTATTGAAGGAATGACAGCAAGGATAAGAAAGTAAGTAGCTGGATTTCCTGCACAATATATGATGGCCAAAATTATTTTAAACTGAATCTTGAAGACAGTATGTTATCTAATGTATACAGGTCTGTAGGGCTGGGGTTGTAGCTTAGTGGTGCTGCATTCTGCCTGGCAAGCGCAAGGTCCTGAGTTTGATTCCTGGTACCAAAAAAACAAGTCTATGAAAGTACTGTGGAATAAGCTCAGTGAGGACAGGTGTCTCTTCAGTTAGTGTTTCAAAGGGTCCCTCTTTAAATAAAAACTCAGAGCACAGGCTTTAACTTAGACTCTGTCATCCAGTGTAATGTGAAATCTTTTTTTTTAAATCCTGAGTTTTTAGTAAGCATTAATGCCACTTCTTGCCATTGCTTGGAACCTGTTAAAGTGGACATAGCTCAGACAGCAAACTGATGCCTTGGTGGGGATGGAGCGTGCCGTGTTTGGGATGGTGGGATCACCTTTGCTAAAGGAGAGCTACATCTCCTAAAGGCAAAGTGCTTGTTAGGTGTCGCCTCTTTACCTTGAGTTTAAAGTTGCACTTGTTCACCTACCAGTGTTTACGAAATCCTACATTTGGGATGCTTTTTTCTATAATAAAATATTATTATTTGTGTGTCTGGGGGTTTTGTCTTGGTTTTTTTAGCAGGATATAAAATTGCAAAGCATGTCACTAACAGGGACTTGAGAGGGTGCAGCCGTGGACAGCAGAGCCTCCTCCTCAGGCCTCCCATTGAGCCTGCACTCTTTCTGCCACTCTGTGTTTGCTAACTCAGGTCCCAGAGCCCTAAGGGGCTACCTTCGCTTGGGTTGCTGCATGGTTTACATTCTAGAACCTGGTCCAGGCGTGGCGGGGCACAATCACAGTTACTCAAGAGCCAAGAGGATCACACGTTCAAGCCCCCCCCCCCCCAGGTAACTTATCAAGACCTTGTCTCAGAATTCCTAAAAGTGATGGGACCGCAGCTCAGTGCTTGCGGAGCATGTGAGGAACGTGCCCTGGAGACACACGGCTATTGAGGCTACCTTGTGCTGAGTATCCTCAGGCACAGCTGTATACTGACAGTTGCTCCCTTCAAGGAGCTTTGATATTCCATGTGGAGCAGACAGATGTAAATAGGCCAGGTCACTCTGGAAGCCCCAAAGAATGGAGGAGCTTCTTTCTGCTGGGTAGAGGGCTTCGCAAAAGGCTTCCAGAAGTCACATGTGAACCAGCACTGGCCTGTGTGAGCGGAGGAGGTGGTTGTGGCCAACGTACCTGAGCAGAGGCAGCTAAGTACTTGTCCCTAGGGAGGATGGGATGGTGCAGGCGGGCAGTGAGGAAGGACTCCAGTTCAGAGATATTTGGACTCTAAACCACTGGAGGCCCTAAAGGGTTTTATGCAGGTGGGGCCAACTTGAAATTTAGAATTTCTCAGGAGCAGAGGACATGCCTGAAGGGGGAAGGAGCAGACCCTGCAGTGGACTAAGGACTAATGCAGAGCCCCCGGCAGCATGGACGGCCATGCCCTGAAGTCATCAATGTCCCTGTATGTACGAAGGCTGAGTTCCTGGCTTGGAAGTTGGGTGGGCTAAACTGAAAGCCCTTGGGAAAAGATGAACTCTGGGTAGCCTTTGAGGCAAAGGCCTTCCAGACAGTTTTCCAGTAGGCACTTAGCCAAGGGGTCTAGAGTTCTGGGGAGGGATCCAGGTAGGTCAGGTCAAACGATCTTTGGAGGCAAAGAAAGGGGGAGAGAAGTGCAGAGGGCGAAGGCTGGACCCAGCTTCCCTGAGACAGGGCAGTACCCTGCAAACGTCGATGTTCTGATGTTTTTGGACAAAGGTTAAAAGAAGCCACCAGTACTTTGCTTTAAAACACATCATAGATTTCCACTACTGTTTTCACAGTTTATTCAGAAGTTTACAAGTTAAAATGTGGGTATTTTCCCCTTAAATGATCCCCTGTCGCTCCCCAACAGTCACTACCACTACTCCTGTTACTTCTCTCTACTCATGCTTACCACACACTCTTGCAAAAACACACTGGGGTCAGTACCCCAACTATTTGGTAATACAAAGATTATGAAGTTACACAAAAATCTCATTTACTTCCCTTTCACTAATGGGCTATGAATGAAAGATTAAGGGACAAACACATTGCCTTCATCCAGTCAAGACTTCCCTAACATTCTTTTTCTTTGTCTAAGACACTAAAACGCAAAGCAGTTTCACTTCAACTGTAACTGATACTGTTTCTCTGATGGTTAAGCTGGGGCTGCCTGTCCCTCCAAAGCTGACCATCACAATCTCAAGACTAACCACAAGCAGTCTCCTCGTGTGGCCTGGCTATGATACTCTGCAACATGCAGTCCCACACAGGTGCAAATGATGCTTTAAGAGCTTTCAAACTTAAAACCAAAAACAAATAATGCATTAATATGGAACCTCCACATTTTTCTGACGCAGCAAAAATCCCCTAAAGGTGGTGGCAACTGTGACAGAGAAGGCACTTGTGCTAAAATTCAGAGGGTCTCATGAGAACGCCATCGTGGAGGCCTGGTGAGCACAAGCTTCAGGCAACCCTTTAGGTGGAGGAGGGGCTCACCCAGGAAGGCAGATGCAAAGGAAAAATTCGTAATCATGATTCCAAGGCAAAATGGCTACTCAAAGTTGGGAGAGGAGAAATACTGAGAGGTGATAAAACAGCTGACCAGAGATCAAGGAGTGAGTGCAGGACTTGTCCGCTGGCTGTGCAGGCTCCGCCAGGGCTCTTCCCACACCATTCCAGGCCGGCCTGGGGATCCTGCCAAGAGGCGTCCAAAACCTCTGCTTCTGGCTGGGCTCCCCTTGGTGTGTTCCCAGGAATCAGCTGAGTTCCTGTGGGCAGCACAGGCAGGCACTGCTGCTCCACAGCAACAGCTATCTTAGGGGTTTTCTGATACAGCCGTAAGAGAAAGTGAGGGTTTGCACATGATCCAGACTCCTTGGCAGTCAATGCCCAGTGGCTTTCCGGGGCCTGTAGAACTGATGTGCCCCATCGACACTCAGAAGAGCAGCCTGAGTCTTTCAGGTGGGTGGGAGGGACGAGCTGAGCAGTAGGCTGAGGTTCTGTACCTTAGTATCATAAATAAAGTGCACCATGAATGGAGGCTGTGAAAAGCCACTTGCCCAAGACGAGGTATGGGGAAAAACCACCATCACTGCCCCTGGGGATGGCTGATAATTCCCTTCACCAGAATGTTGGCTGCTGAGACTTTCATTATTGCTTTTCTTCCTTAGTACTGTGGAACCTTTAGCTATACAGAAAAAAGAAATACTTGATAGGATTGGCAGGTAGCATGTGACTGTGTCACAGGATTGGCTGATCTCGGTGAGTAGACATTACGAGCTCAGTTAATTGGATGATGGCTGTTTTTCCCCTTCATTCTGATGAACTTAGGAAAATTCAAATTCTTTTTAAAAAACACCTAGCAAATTGGCTCATGATGCTTCTAAAGAAGCAAGACAGCTTTTATGGCTGATGTAGTAGAAATGGTGGTCACTGTTCTAGCAGTTTTCAGACACGTGATGGAGGAAATCCACTATCACACTTCAGGAGATTACTCTGACATATCGATGAGTGCCATGAGTTTCTTGGAGGCTCTTTCAAAAGAGTGCGGAAGAAAACCATACAAAGACCTCGGTCCATTTAGGATTCCACAACAAGGGTCCTATTTCGCTGCTTTCATGTAGGAAGGTATTGCCCCCCTTGCAGTCAGGCCCTCGAAGCGCTTGTACGTGTAATTGACGAAGACCCAGTCTTTGTTCTTGTAGTCAGTCTCAGGGTGGTTACTTGTGGCCACTGGGAAAGAAATAGATGTGAGAGTTGATTCACTGCCTTACCCCATGGACTATTCAGTGTCGAAGACAACGATCTGAAGAATGCACCGGTTTCTATTTGGAAAAGGGGATTTTATTTCAGTGTGTGTGTGAATTTTCTACATTCACTTGCCTGTGTTCTTTGAACTTTGTACTTCTGGACAAATATTTTTAAAGTTTTATTTTCCCACTCCTGTCATTTCAGTTTACCTAACCTTAAACTTAAGAACAAAAGAACAGGTTTTTGTGACTTACCCAGCTGAGCAGTCTGAACATGGCAGTTTGAAACATCTCACTGCTACCCAGTATTAGTACTGGAAAAATACTTACAAAGAACTTGGAGAACTGGAGTTCCTCTTCAGTTCTCTACCCTGATTTGCAAACCTTATCCCAAAGTTGGGGGTGAGGGTGGAGAAATGACATGATTATAAGGTAGCAGAGGCAAGGCTGGTGGAATTACCTGTTGGCTTAAGAATATCAGATTCTGGGAACTCATCGAAGTTTGAAGTATCATCAATGCTTTTGATTTCAATAGATATCACAGCAGGTCTTTCTCTGCCAACAGACATGCCAGAAATTACTATGGTTAGTACTCATACGGCTCACACTAGTCACGTCTTTCTCCAACAAGACGCTGTGGTCTGACATGGGAAGATTATTCACTGGCAGGCAGCACTTATTTTCTCTTGAAAAGCTTGTGAATGCTGACCAACCAAGCCAACTGACTATACCCAACAAATTAATTATGATGAAAATATGTGAGTAACTTGATCATCTATGGCTAGAAAGGAATAATGAGAAAGGATAATCCTTGAGATGAAAAAAAATTAAGATGTGTTATGTATATGTACCAATCCCTATGAGGAATGTAATCATTATGTACTGCAAATATATACCAATAAAAACTAAAAATTGAAAAAAGAAAATCCCCTGATGACCTGCCTTGTCTACTAAAAGGGGAAACTGAATCTCTAAGTGTTTCCTCATGTAAGGCTCTACCCTTCTTCCACTGGAGGTATCAAAGAGTAGGGCTAAAAACAGAGGTGGCAAAAGTAAAAATCACAAGGATGCAAATCGGAACACATAATAAAATGAAATGACAACTACCTCACTGGTGTTTGACAACCAATGAGTGCTAAGTAAGAGGTTCTAGGATCAAAGCAGGTGGCCCAGGCGCTCGTGGCCACTGGCTGCACTCTACCACCCCCCCCAGAACAATGTTCCTTCTCTACCTCCTTCTGCATCCTTCTTCCACTCATTTCTCCCTTCACCATCTCCCAGTAACAGCTTCTGCCTTGGGGGCAGGGACAGTCCCACTGGAGGCTCTCAAAGCTAGAGAGGTCAGGCAAGAGCAAAGACAGCAAGCACACTTCCTAGATGCTCCATTCACTGTGGAACCCAGGGGTCACTTCGCTTTGTGAGTACTGCTGAATGCAATGTATCCTGTGGCCCATGGCTAGGAGGAAGCATGACTCCCAGCCTTCATCATGAGTGAACACACAGAAAAGACCCTACATTTCTATGCTCTTTTCCTTTTTTTTTAAGCTACCCAATGATGGTGGCTCCAAATTAGCATGAAGCTAAGCACAGACTTTCTGAAATAATTCTGAGTATTTTTATATTGTATACCTGATATGTTCCCAGTCAACACCTTCAAAAAAAGCATTATTTTTTATTTCCTCAACTCCAGAGGCTCCAATTCTATGTTCCCATTCACAGCAGAATCTGGAAAAGACAGATACCTTTCAGCATACCTCAAATAATTTAAGAAAAAAAAAAAAAG